CAGTTTGATTTCTCTTTATTTTATATTCATCTAAAGCATAGACTTATAGTCTGAGCACTTCAGTATTAATTAAAGTACTATCTTCAACATCAACTTCACTATCTATTTAGAGATAGACCATTCACTTAATCAAATTAGATGTTAATTTTTAATATTAAATTATATATTTTGTGCTGTCAATCACTTTTATTTTAGAATAACAGAGTACTAATCTAGATCTATTATCAGTAGAGAAATATTATAAAATCTCTAGTCATTTATTCAGAGGTTTAAAGTCAATGTATAGTCTATCATATCATCAGAAGCATCATTGTATCTCTTCATTAAACATTTAAATAGAAGTTCTTAAAACATTCTATTAAAAAATCTCATTAATTCTATAATATATCAAATATCAATAAAATTCATATTATTTACTATAGTATTAGCATGAAAATTTGAAAAAGTAGCAATTTTATTATAAACTAACTAGATTAATATATTAAAGTTTTTTCTTTTAATCAAGTTCTTCATATCAAACTTCTCACAGACTATTGAACTACCTAAGATAAAGTTTTCTTTCAGACTCACTCTTTTCTCAAATTTACTGAAGATTTAAAAGTATCATTCTCTGTGAGCTCAGTGATTGTCTGTTGAAACTTCTATTTTATGAGACAGTTTTTTGCAATATGTTCTTTCTTCTTGCAGTAGTAGTACTGAATATCTGAATATATACTCACAATTATTATTATAATAAAAAATTTTATAGCAGAGATATCAGAAATAGTTTGACTGTTGAAGATTCACAAGATATTTTATTTAAAGATATTATATTTATTTCTTTATAAGCTATTTGACTTCTGAATGATATTAATTTTCTGAAGAATATGAATTGCCTAAGTATAGATCTTCTAAAACTCAGTATATATATTTATGATTATATTAACTACTGTTATCATTTTCTAAAAATCAAAGAACAGCTTGTCATTGAAGTCTGTCTTATAGTCTTTATTGACAATCTTGATTTTACTCACTAGGTGTAAAAATTTTATAATAAATTTATAATAATTATTCTCATTATATATAATCAGCTTGCAATAATTATTTTTAATATTTTGCAGCTTGTTAATATTCTTATATATTGATTTGAAATGCTCAAATATCTCTTTTATAGTTTAATATTACTTGAAGTAGTTTTCTTTCATATAGAATGTAATATAATATGCTATATTCTCATCAGTTTAGTTTTCAATATATGTAATTCTCATGCATTTAGTAGAATAATAGTTGACATTCTCTTAGAGCTTGTTCTTCATCTGAAAAAGTCAGTATTTAAATTTCAACTTTTTGTCATCAGTAAAATGTTTCAGATCATCAATATTGATAGATCTTCTGGCAGTTTCAGAGAAAATGATATCTCAACTTGCTGTTTAATTACTGACTATTATGTGAATCAGAGTATGACTAAATTTATTATATTTAGCAATTAATTCATCAATCTGACTTTGCTTACCAGTGATCTAATTGATAACATTATTCTATTTTATTTTCAAATATATGATTATATCTCTTAACTTTTTTTCATTATCAAAGATATTATCAAAGATCACTGTTAATTTATTATAAATACAGTCATTGTCTGAGTGAATTATCTATTTAAATTTTTTAATTAAGGTGTATGATTAATAATCAGTTATATTAAAATATGTTATTAGTTCTTTTGACTTCTTTCAAGAGGTTTAGAGTCTATAGTAGTCATCTGATATCAGATTGAACTGTTATTTTTAATAGTACTATTGCCTTCAACAGTTAATCTGATATATTATCAGACTCTTAACTAGCAGGTCTTAATTTAACAGAGACACTTGAGTTTTCTACTCAAACTTGATTAAAAAAGTAGAAAAAAATCTTAGAATTATGTTAAAAAATGAATATGAGCTGCATAAGAAGGAAACTCTTTATATTGCTAATTGCTATATGACAAAAATTTAAAATTGATAAGGAAAAAGAAATGTCAGAATCTACTTAGATTATAAACACCTCAGATGATCATATAATCAGATCACAACTGATCCGCTCAGTCATATGTGAAGTGTAATCACATGATGAAGATAAACTTAGTCCTGGTGTCAAGTCTAACAAAATCTATAATATTAGTTAAAATGTTAGATATTAATTTTTTAAGATAAATTTTTTAATTGAATATTAATTAAGATATTATAATAAGTTTATTATATAGTTAATATTAATATAAAATAATTGAAAAAAAAATTATAAAATTTTATTAAATTTAATATTTAAAAAATAATTAAGTATAAAGTTAATAATTCAGCTATTATATAGAAGTAACTATTTAAAATTAAATATAGTTTTTAAATTAAAGAGTTTAAATAATTTAAAGTTAAACTGATAGCTAAAGATTTTTCTCAATAATATAATATTGATTATAATAATATATTTACTTTTATTATCTGACTATATAGTTTTTGAATACTATTTATATTAATTGTTAAGCACAATTAATATATAAATCTACTAGATGTAATGAATATATATATCAGCTTAAAGCTTAATAAATCAATTTATATGAATTTATCTGAAGAAATTAAATTATTAAACAAGTTAAATAAGAATATAGTTTTACTATTACTTAAAATTTTATATAGATTGAAGTAATTTAAATTTTTATAAAATGATAAAATCAGTAGTCATCTTTAATATATTGAGTTTAAACTTTTATATATCAATCTCAGAGTATTTATTAATAAACATAGTATAATTATAATATTATATATTAATAATATTTTAACTTTAGAGAGGATTAAAAAAAAATTGAATTAATAAAGTAATAATTAAAAAATTTTACTGTATAAAAAATTTTAAATTTTTTTTAAATATTTTTAATATAAAAATCAAATAGTCTATCAAGTATTTAATAATAATTAATTAATATATTATTATATCTACTGAAATCTTAATAAATTTAGAATAAATTATATAAAGTTAATATTTATTTCTCTTAGTATCAATCAAAAATTAAAGAAATTAAAATTTTATTTATTAAATTTAAAAAATATTTTCTATTTTAAAAATTATTAATAGATTAATATACTTTATTATTAAAATTTAAGTAGATTTAATATATATAATTAATTATTTAAATTAATTTCTGACTAAACTCTGAGAAATTTATTTATAAGTAGTAAATTATTTACTATATTATATGACTAAGATAATTAACTACAAGCTTCAAATTTAGTTCATTAATAAATTTTTAAGCAATTATACTAATGCAATTTATATTAATATCATGAAATTCAAGTTTACTAGTAGTTAAATCTTTATTCTAAGAAGTATATTAATCATATAATCATTGAAAAAGTAATTTTTGATAGTATAATCTAATATGAAAGCTGAATATATAAATCTATTTAATATAGTTAAATAAGCTATTTCAATATATTAGTTTTTTAATAAAATATATAAATTTAAAATATTAATGAGTGAGTCTTTTATACTTTATATAAATAATGAAATCTTAATTATCATAGTAGATAGTTAAATAAATTATTTTTAAAGTAAATATATCAATATTTAATATTATATTATTTGAAAATATGTTAGAGTTAATAAAATAGAAATTTATTATTTGTATAATATTTAAAGCTCAATAAATATATTGATAAAAATATTAAATTAAATAAAATTTTAGAAATATACTTATATATTTAAATTTTACTAATATATTTATATTAGATATTCAATTACAATTTTATAATAATTGAATAAAAAAAATAATATATTTATAATCTTCTCTATAGTTATATATATATTAAGTTGAAATAACTATTTTTCAACTTAGTATACTCTTCATTTATTTTCTTTCTAAGTTGAACTTACTCAACAAACTATTTATTATAATTAACAATTTAAATCAATTATATATAGTAATATATTTATTCATTTTAATTATATTTATTTGATTCTTTATAATTTTATTAAGTTATTAAAAATTATTAAATTCATATACTAAAAGATGATTATAAAGTTAAGAAAATGAGAAATTTTTTCTTTTTCTAAGTATTCATTTAACTAATTTTTTAATTATCTTGTTTTTTCATTTGATTTTATATCTGTACTTGGCAATAGACCTATTATTGTATATAATATTGAGTTCTCCTAATATGGTGAGTGGGGTGTCAAACACTGCCGTTACATGACCTGCTTTCTACCATTGTTGTTCTCATAGCGTGCAAACTCTGCCATCAATCAAGCTTGCCACTCTGTCATATATTTTTGCTCAAGTTACATTTAACCACGTGATTGCCCTATTTCAAGCAACAGCCATTATTCTCTTTTTGAGTTAGTGTGCCGTCTGCCTTGGGAAAAGATATTTGCCGGCAGCCAATCATTTTTCATTGATCCACATATGATGACAAAGCAACCTTGAAACAACGTTGAGGCATTCCTCTCAACTTGTTTGTGTTATTCATTTCCCTCCGTATCTCCGCACATTAATTACGTGCTCCCTTCTGCTTCTCTCATCCCCTCTTCACTTCTTCCACACTGCTCCTTGCCATCTGCCACCCACCTCTTCTACTCTTTTCGTTTGTTCGTTCCGTCTCTTGCTTGCTCATCTGTTGCATATCTTTATCTGCGCTCGCTCTCTCTTTAGCGCCTTATCAAATGTATCTTCGTATCTCGACCTTTCTTTTGTCTAGACCTTGGTGACCTCATATCTCCTCCCATCCTTCCTTCAGGCTTCTCTAGTTCTGAATGGTACATCTTATTGCTTTCATACGATTGTATTCCCATGCACAAGACCGTCTGGCTGGCTCTCCCTAGCCTTACCTTAAAACAACAGCTACTCTTTGTTTTAGACGACCGGGAACATACCATCCCATATCTTACCGCCAAATTCGCACGGTCCTCAGTGAATTGATGAATTAGTGACGTGACATTTTTGGAATCAAATATTTTCCGCGCTTCTGGAAGTTGACTGCAGCCTATACTCTCCGAACATGAGGCGTCCGGGTGGACTGGCTTCTAAGCCATTCATCCTATTCGTGCTGTTTTTTTTTCTGCTGCTTTTAACCAGTCAAGTGGCAGCCCAACAGACCACAAACGAACCATCTGATGATTCAAGGCCTGATAATACAAGAACAGAGAATCCCAACCCGGATAATACAGGCGCGAATAGTCCAAGGCCTGAAGGGACAACAAATGCTCCAAATTCAAATCCCACCCCGGTTTCTACAACAGAAGGCAGCACAGGACCCAGCACAGGACCCAGCACAGAAGCCAGCACAGAAGTCAACACGCCACCACAGACTGAGACCCCCAAGGACACAGAAGCAGTTGTCCTTCCAACCATTTCATCAGAGGCTAGTAGTACTACGAGCAGCTCCAATCCCACAGAAACAAACACCTCTGACCTTTCTTCTATGAGCATGCCCCCGCTATTCCCAACACCTACACCACAAGTACCCCCATCAGAAGGAGCCCCATATCTCCATAGGTCAAACTTGCCTGAGAACACGATTTTCATAGCAGTGGGTACTGCGCTTGGCGTATTTGGTGTCGCAGTTTTTGCATGGAGAGCTCTGGTGGCTTGGTCAATTAACCGCTCGGTCCGTCGCGCTGCCATCCGTCCAAACAATACAGATGCCACCGCTCTCCTCAACAAGCGGAAGTCTGGCATCTATCGCCAGCCACCCGGAGCAGCCATGTCAATGGAGAAATTTGGGCACCAACGTACGCCATTCTAACATGGGCCCAAGAAACCATACACCAAACTCCAGTCTCTTCTTTTCTCCCACTGCAGGCGCGGGCATGCATTCTTCTGGAAACAAAGGATCTGG